TGTTGTTTGTCTTAACTGCTAAAAATTTTACTGTGTACAATTTGGAAATAAATTTCTGATCTCTGAATGATACTTTCCTTAAGAATTGACTCTATCATTTTCTTTGCAAAACAACGTCTTAAGGAAATTCATATACACAATTCTTTAACATTTATAGTTTTCAGTTGTCGGTCAGTCAGTTGTATTGTGGTTGTTTTCATATTGTTATGATCTTTGAAACCTATGCCACCAGTATCTCAAAAGTCAGCAGGACCATTCATGGTGAGCAGTTTAAGCAGACGTTCTATGCCTAGAACAGACTAGGGCTAAGAAACAGGATGCCCACTTCTGACAGATTCTATACTGGAAGCCTGAAGAACAGGAGTGGAGGAGTATTATCTGATAAAGTGCCAGAAGACGAACCCATCAGTTTGGAAGACACTCAAAATATGACTGGGAAAGAGCTGTCTTCTCAAAGTAGAGTTGACTTTAATGGCTTGGATGAAGCATGTGTTAGAATGTTCACCTGCTGTTGGTGCATGGCTGAAAATAAGAAATAACTGCACACATCCACTAATGTTCAGAACATGGAATGTACAAATGAGTCAAAGCTCCCTGAATGGCAGTGCCTTTGTTTTCTGTTGCTATTGTTTGTTATTACTTATGAAACTGTGCATCCATGAAGATTGATCCTAAAACCAATGAAACGCTGCTTCTCTTTCTGCTTTAATGTTTCTGTTCACTTGCCTATGGTTGAGCCCAAACAATGATAACTTCTTATTTGAAACTTCCCTTTTCAGAATAAAACCAAAGAAGCAGGTTTGCTTGCTTCCTAGATGTGCAGTTCTAGAGAAAAGGAAGAATGATGTATCCATCCTAGAGTTTAATCATGATTCTGGTTCTGAGAAAAATTCTGGTCTAAGACATGGTCCAGGAATGAAAGAGCAATATTCGTGATTCCCAATTATAAACTAAAGATTCAGTTTGGCTTTTTCTTCCATTCTGCAGAGAATAAGTATTTAATTAGCATTTTACACGATTTTTGTCAAAATAAAAATATTTGCTTTCGTTGTATGAATGTACCATTTGAACTCTCAGAATTCACCTACTGTTCTTATCTTGTAAGACTTACAGAACTACTTATAACTATTTGCATACTGAAATACACAATATTTCATATCAGTGAGATCATAAAAATAAAAGGCACACATTTGTTGTTGGGACCCATCATCTCAAAACTGAAACCAGATTTATTCTTTTAGACAGGAACCTCTGGGGTCACTAACCCATTCCCTCCATTCCCCGCGTGAACTTGATGGAAGGCAGAGTACAGCATTTCTAACAACGTGGATGCATGTTGCTGTTGGTAAGGGCTATAGAGTAATACCTGATTTAGAAGAACCTTGCATACCACAGAATGGAACGCTGTCAGGTCCTGCATTACCCTCACAATTAATAACAATTTTTGCAGCTACTCTGTTAATTCATCTTGTTGAGGGTCTTCCTCTTTGTTAACCTTCTATTTTATCAATCACGAGGTCCTTCACCTGGAAGAACTGGTCTCTCCTGATAACACACACAAACTATATCCTTGCTTCTAAGGACTTTCCTGACTATACATTTTCCAATAAATATTTGTTCATTCTTCTGGAAATCTATGCTATTTTCAATATTCTTTGACATCACAGTAAATCAAACACACCAATTCTTTCTCGATCTTCTGTATTCATCATCCATATTTTACATGCATATGAAGCGATTGAAAATGACTTGGGTCAGGTTAAAATCAACATAAATGAAAGCAGCAGACAAGAAATCAAATGACATATTGCACGGGGAATATCTGCTGCAAAAGACTACTTAAAATGTTTAAAATTAAAGATGACCTTCTGAGGACTTATGTGCCAAGTTAACTTCATTAGTCTTCTCTATTTTTATCTCTAGATTCTAATACTCTTGCCAATGATATTCAGAACTGTGAGACAATATTCATGATTAGAGAGTTTATTAAAGAAGTTAACAGGTGAGAAATGCTCAGGATAGAGTTATCGGGAAGTGTTACAAAGTTCTTCCTGGGGCTTCCAATAGATGCTCAAATGGCATACCACTCAGCTATAAACCTCTCCCTGAAGGCATTAAGCTGAAGCTCTGTGGGTCAGTAAACTCAGCTCCCTCAATTACATGCCCAGAGTCACTCAATTGCACAAGCCAGCCTCCTTCTCGAAAGGATGCATGCTTACTTGCTTCCTGGGCAGGAAGTCCATCACTCTGTTCTACGCTCCAGCTCCGGTTTCAGGCTGCTCCTCTAATGTTACATCTGTCTTCCAGATCCATGAGATTCACTGTGTAGGCATCTCAGGTGCAAAGGACCCCCTCCACTCCTGGCTCTTGTAGGTAATTATATCCCTTTTCCCTGGTGGTGTAGTGGTTTCGCTTTGGGCTGTGATCCACAAAGTTGGTAGTTCAAAACCATCATCATCCTACTCACAGGGGCAGTTCTTCTCTGTCCTATAAGGTTGTTACTCAAATCAACTCGATGGCAATGAGTTTGTTTGTTAGTTCAAAACCAGTGAGGTTACAATTTAGTGTGTGTGGTGGGGAGTTTGCTTTGAGGAATAATGTGTAATTTACAGTACAATTCCAAATTCCGCCCTCCCCCCACTTTTGAAACAGAATGAGCACTGTAAGAAGTGGCATTGCTGGTATATTGTTCTAATTTTTCTGCCACATGAATCAGTCTCATCAAACACTTCATCGCCATTTGTGAAAGCATGCTGCCTACCTGTAAAAAGCAAATTGCAAACACAATTCCATTTGACAGTATGTGACTGTCAGAGAATGCATGCTATTTTTATATATATTCCATGAATTTCAACTCAAAATGAGTCTCAACTCATTTTCACTTGTGAAAAAGGATGCAAGTTGACATTATTTTGCCATATTGAAATTTTACATATGACGCCTCCTGGCAGAATGCGCTAAGGGTGCTGTTCTCTCATTTATTTAAAATCTCTTATATAATCCCGTTCTCTACATATTTATAGACAACTTGAAATACTCATATTTTACACAATGCTCCCCACAGAGTGTGCATATGATGATGGCAAATAAATTTTGTGAAGCAAAATACATGTGCTGAATATTAACAGATTTTTATCTAATTATTCTAAGTGCTTATAAAGTGAATCACTTTTAATATGCAAACTTGTAAAACTCTGGTTCTTGCAAATGTGCAAGGTTATCTCAGTGAGGTTTGGAATAGCCTACCAATCCCAGTTCAACATGTCAGAAGAGTTTTATCTCAATAGCATTGCCCCCGGGGCTGCTAAGGTATGGTATGTGCAGACACCATAGAAACAAGAGCCTTGAGAAGCAAAGAACTATGAGGTTTTTATTTGGGTTCTGTGACTAGAAGTCATTAAACCTAATTCCACTTAGTCCTTTCCAGAGGGATTGATACAGAAATTGGTGAGAGTATATTATGAGATTAATGCTGGCAGGTCTTTTCAACGGACACTGACTCATTCATTTCCTTGTAATTGTTAATGTTATTTTACCACTCGTAACAGAAATGTCTAAGTCTGTGGCTTCTCCTAGTGTACTTGATAGACCATCTACAATGGATCCATTGTGTTTGTTGCTAAAACCCATACTAAGGAGTCCCACATACTCACTGCATTGGATTATCTGAGGTTGGATCTGCAGAGTTTGCCTTTTTAGGAACAGCCAAAAATCTGGTAAAAAGTGCCATATGCTAAACTCTTCTGTCTCAAGATTAACCTCCTCTAACACTCACTCCCCACCTCCCTCTGTGGGTCTCCTCTTTCTCTGTTTCTCTTCCTCTCTTATACATTCACATACAAACATATTCACCACAGATGGACAGCCTGATATGCTCTAGCTTTTGTCCCCACTACTGTATGACATAATACACATATAGATTATACGGTATATAAGATTTGAAGCAATTGCAAAAATTTAGAGATCTAATGTCCCTAGATACACAATTGTGGCTGGTAATCTGGACTGAGAAAACTTAGAAAATTGATGCTTAAGTAGGTCTTTGAATTTCATTTTATCCTGAATAGTACTCATTGATTTTTTTCTAATAAAAAATAATTAACATTATTTAAAAATGTGATAATGATGGCATAAGACCAGTGCTATATCTCCCTCCCTCATGGGGTGGGGGAAGAATAGTTATTTATTAGTGCAACAGAGGATGATTAATTTTACATGGTGGAAAATTATGGAATTTTATAAAAAGTCATGAAAACTCACCACTTCTTCATGTCTGCATTTTCTCACATTAATTCCATTTATCTGAAGTTAAAATGAAAGAACAATTTTATATCATATGTTGTAAATGTGTGTATATCATAGTGATAAATATTTGCTTAAACTTAGAAAAATAATGATGAATATATACCTGTAGAATTGCATCCCCAATAAAGAGTAATCCTGAAAGTTCCGCTACGAGTGAGAGAGAACAATGAATTATACGTCCGATATCCCCCTAATACGTCCATTTTATAATTAAATAAAACAGAAAAACCTAAAACCAAAGTCATGTCTGTTTTGTTTATTCCAACTCATGGCGACGCTGTAACAGAGCAGAACTCTGAGACTTAAAATCCTTAGCGGGGCAGACAGGCGCAATAGGCTCCGGGAGCCGCTGGGGGGTGGACACTGCTGAAGTTACTGGTTAGTAGCCTATCACACAACCAGGGCTTCTGAAGCGGAGTCCACACTTCTTTCATTTCAACAATAAGTTCAGCTTGGTCATTGTATGTTGTTGTGTTTATGCATTTCTAGATTTGATTTCAGGAGCCCTGGTAGTACACAGTGACTAAATGCTTGGATGCTAATGTCGGAGTTTATGCATCCACTCCTCTGGGGAAATAAGTGGTACTGGGCTACCATAGAGATTATAGCCTTGGGAACCCTGCCGTCAGTTCGCTCTGCCCTATGGAAGCGCTAGAAGTTAGAACAGACTCACTGGCAATAGGTAAGCCTGGGTTTTCTACACCTGTAAGTAATTACAGCCTCAGAAACCCACTGGGGTCTGTATGCGTCATCATTGACTTAATGGCAGCAGGTTTAATATCTTCCTGAGAACGTTTGCATCAATATTTTACTCTTTTTCATTAAAAAATTAATGTACCAGTTTGTTTAAACAGTCATGTGCTGAACCTTTTACCTGATCTGAATTGTTCCCAGTTTTTAGATATAATGAGTAAAGCGGTATTCATGTTCATAAATCAACTAATTTTATTTCTCATTTCCCCAGTTTTATATATACTCCTGTGTGTGATTAGTTCTGGCCAGTTTTATGACATGCGTAATCTCCTGTGTAAACTGCCACAGTAATGATACTAAAATATTTAAGGAACTCTCAAACTGAAAATTGTGATAAAAACAATCCAATGAGAAAATTTACAACAGATATGGAGAGACATTTGACCAGTGAGCACTGAATTTAAAGTCAGACTCAATTATTACCCAGCCAGGTGATACTTTTAGAAAGGCAATTATACCAAAGTTTATGCTTCCTAAAAATTACGTTTCTTCAATAAATTTGAATTTTGAAATAGGGCTACCATGTAATTCTCTAGATACTGTACCTTTTTGTTCCTTGGAGATTTTGGAAATGACCACAGGAATATTATGTTCTGCTCCCCCCTGTAAAGATAAATAGAAAAAAAAACCAAAAACATTGCTTTCTTTTTTTTTTAGGATATAGCTTTTAAGCAAGAAACTCTAAAGATTGTGAGTAGCATGTCATTTTAACACCAAACAGAATTTAGTATATCTGTGGAATATCTTCACTAAGTAAAGAGTGCTTCTTTGTAGTTTATTTTCCTCTCTAGAATTCCACTAGGACCATCAATGATTAATAAGTTAACTTTAAATTTTTTATTTTAAAATGTTGGTAATATAGTTTTTAAAGTAATGTGTAGCTTTTCCTTTCTAGAACTTTGTCTTTAAACTTCCAATTAAGACTGTGCCTTATGCTACGGGTTAATTCATTTTATGTAAGATGAGCATCTTCAAAGATGCCAGTGGTAGCGTTGGGAAGCAGAGACCAGGGAAGATCGTGACTTGCACAAAACAGCAAATTCAATCATAATGTTGGAAGAGATTACCCTGCATCTACTTAATTAATATTGCAATACACTTTGCTTGTTACCCCATCTGAACATTTATAATAAACTAGCTAGAAAGTAGTAGATGTACTTCGGTCTCATTGATAGAACATTGCATAACAAATAAAAGGAAAGAAAAGCAATCTAATCTTAGGTAAAGGAAAATAAAAAAATCCTTCAAACAAGTGTATGAAATATTTTTCTCTACATTACAGAACTCAAATGTTGTAAACAACATTCAAAGATAAAATATGTTGGAGGGTCACTAGGAGTGAGAACTGAATCAATGGACATTAGTTTGGTTGGCTGTTGGTTTCCTACCATCGTCAGATGTCCTGGTGGAGTGGTAGGTTATTATTGTACTGCTAACCCCAAGGTCAGCAGTTTGAAACCACCAGCCACTCAGCTGGAGGACAAAACAGGAAGGACCAATAATTGGAAAACATGGTCTTGGTGAGAGGAACTAAGCTACAGACCACATGATAGAATTTAGAAAATATCTTTTTTTCTCTAACAACACAGTGACTATACATGTAGAAATCTCATATGGAATACAAAAAAAAAATCAAATTGGCTCTATCTATGGGAAAAGGTGATGGAGAATCTGAAAACCAAGCCAGGGGCTGACAGAGGAACATACCACCATTTTCTCTGATGTAAGTTGAGGTTAAAGGTGAGGAACATTAAAAGAAATCCATAAGAGCCAAAATATGACCTTGAATGTATCCCACCTGACTTTTGAACACATCTCATTGGACAATGATGACAGAAAACTGGAACTGTGGGAGAACATCAAGAATATAATTAATGAAGAAAAACAAAGTTCATTAAGAAGAAAGGAAGGAAAGAAATGATCGAAATGGATTTCAGAAGAGACTATGAAATGTGTTCTTAATCATAGAGTATCTAAGGCAAACGGAAGAAATTATGAAGTCTAAGAGCTAAACAGAAATGTTCTGCTTCAAAGAGCAACTCTAGAAGACAAAATCCAATATTATAATGAAATGTGCAAAGACCATGAGTTGGAAAATCAAAAAAGGGAGAATGCAGTCTGCATATTATAAACTGAAGGAACATAGAAAAAAATTAACACTTAAGTTGTAGCATTGAAATATTCGGTGGGCAAAAAATTGAATGATGTAGGAAGCATCAAAAGAAGATAAAAGGAATGCAGAATCACGGCACCAAAAAGAACTCATCAGCATTTAAGCATTTCAGAAGATAGCATATGAGCAAGAATCGATCATAATGAAGGAAGGAGTCCACCTTGAGAGCATTAACAAAAATCAAGGCTCCAGGAATCGAAATGTGTCAACACACTGATGAAGCTCTGGAAGCTTTCACTTATCTATGCCAGGAAATTTGGAAGACAGCTACTGGGTCGACTGCCTGGAGGAGATCCATGTTTGTGTCCATCCAAAGACAAGTGATCCAACAGAAAACTCAAATTTTAGAACACAATCATTAATATCACATGAAAGTAAATGTTTGCTAAAGATTATCCAACCAAATTTGCAGCAGAACTCTTTTTCAGGCCAGATTCAGAAGAGGACATGGAGCAAAGGCTATCATTGCTGATGTCAGATGGATCCTAGCTGAAAACAGAAAATAAGTATAAAGATGTTTCCTTGTGTTTTATTGACTGTGCCAAAGCATTTGACTGTGTGGATCATCACAAACTGCGGATAGCCTTGGGAAGAATGGGAATTCCAGAACACGTACTCGTGCTCAGGCATCATGGAGCAAGAGGCAGTTATTTGAGCAGAATAAGGGAATCCTGCATGTTATCAAATCAAGAAAAGTATATGTCAGGGTGTACCTCTAAACATATTTATTCAACCTGTATGTTGAGCAAACCATCAGAGAGGGTGTGTTATATGAAGAAGAATGCAGCATCGGGATTGGAGGAAGGCTATTCACAATAGGTGATTGGAAGATGACACAACCTTGTTTGCTGAAAGGGAGGAGGATTTGGAATACTTGCTGACTGTTGGAAGGATTGCCTTCTTCACAATGGATTACAACTCATTGTTAAAAAAAAAGAGACCAAAATCCTCTCAACTGGACCATTAGGTGACATCATGATAAATGGTGAAAATGCTAAAGTTGCCAAGATTTTGTCGTGCTTGGATCCACAGTCCACGTTCATGGACATAGCAGGCAACAGATAAAATGACACATTGCCTCTTTGAGGTGCTGAACAGCAAGAAGAATGCTTTGAGGACTACAATGAGCTGACTCAAGTCCTAGTATTTTCAATGGTCTCATGCGCATGTGAAAGTTGGACATTGAATAAGGAAGATTGAAGAGGAACCGCCATGTTTGGATGATGGTGAATGTGAAGAACATTGACAGTACCATGGACTGCCTTAAGAACAAACCCATCTGTTTTGGAAGAAGTACAGCCAGCATGCTCCTTAGAGGCCAGAATGAGTACTCCCTAGTTCCAGTACTTCCCATCAGTCTCTGCTTCTCTGGAATACTGGCCTTTTTTATATTTCCTGAAAATGCTATGTCCCATCATCATTTTTGAGTATTGCAGGATATAACATATGCTGTTCCATGTGCTTTGAATGCCTTGTCCTTCAGACTTGAAAGACTATGACTTTAGAGTTCAGCTAAAGGAATCCCACTCAATTTCGTTACTTCTATAATGCTCGTCATAGCCAGAGAGTACATTACTTTATGTTACTATTTGATTAGTATCGCCTACAAATGGCCTGAGATCAAGGAAAGGTCTTCTCACCATCCTCTCAGTACATGCTGTTTCAGAGGGTGAGGCTGATCATCACTGGAGAATATTTGAATTATTGAATAATGATTATCATTCCAGTTCATGGCAAAGTCTAAGATTAATGACAGTGAGGCAAAGTTCTACTGTTTCTCAGATAAAAATTGAAGAATATATTATTATATTTTATAATATGATATTCTATTTACACATCTTAGTTAATTTTATAGCTAGTTTTATAGAAAATATATAAAAATGGCCCTAGCTAAAATATTTTCAGCAGGATTCTATCTAATTATTAACTATAGAATATATTTGAATCATACATAGATTATTTCAAAGCATTAAATAATTCCAATATTTTAATAAAGGAAACAATGAAGTGTTGGGCTTCAAAATGAAACATAGGATATCACCATGATATGTCCATTTAGACTCTATGTACTTGTAAACAGATATTCACAAACAAGCATTTGAATGAATGGCCACTGTGTACATGTGCTAGAGAGACTTCTGAGAGATAAGCACCTGATGAGTGGTGAGACATAACATGATCTCTCTGAAAGTCAGCTACATTCACCAAAATCACTTAGGGATTTTAGCTTGGATGAACTAAATATTTCACATTAATAACTGACCAGTACTTTACCCTTGATTCGTGGCATTGACCTAAAAATCTTCATACCATAGCATTATTATCTATCATTTTCTCATTCAAAGATGGCAATAATATATCCATTTTGTCTTTTATGACCAGTAAATAAATTCAAGTAAAGGGAATAAAGGTACAGAAATCTAAAAAGTGTGTAAATACATTTGTACTGTTATGAATAGTTGTTTTTTTTAATCATTTTTCAGGAACTAGAAATCACCAGTAAACTAAAAGGCAAATATTTATTTTCATTATTGTGAGTGCAGAACATACACTTGTTTGCAAAATTATTCTGTTTTAAAACCTTACGTTTCAGGATAGTCTGTCCAAGAGGGAATGGGTTTACCCAAAAGTCAAGATGTTAGAAAGGGTGAAAGTAAAAGGATATAGGAGAAACCACTGAGAGGGAGCTGCCGGAACATACCTATCGAAATGAATAGTTCAACTCTGAAAAACGACATAGGTGCTGAGAGCCATGAACATGGCAAATATTGGTAGGAAGGCACATAAAGTAATTTAGATGGGCTATACTTTCACTAGGCTGATGTATCTGCTGTCATTCAATCTGACAATAGAGAGAAGACTATGGAATCATAACTGGAGCTTTTGGGAAATCCCTTTTTGGGAAATCTGTTTTTGCAGATAAAATAATTTTGTTTTGTTTTTCAGGATTTCAAAGAGGGTCACAGAATTTTTTCGCGGGAACATCAGGGGGGTAAAATTACATGGTACTAGAATTTGAAGCCCTCAGGCCTGCTCCTGACACAGGTTTATTTTCAGTAGTTTTCATGCCATTAGTTCCTTGGTGAGCTCGGTGATTCCTCAGCTTCCCCACAGTACGGGCAATGCTGTAGACGTCTAAAGATGGTAGTCAATATTATAGAAAAGGGATCTCATACAGGTTTTGTTTTAATATTTAGTAATATGCTGGGGGGGATAGGTCCCCAACAGTCAAACTTGTACATAGGAGCACATTTGTGATTACGGACAATGATAAAGGCAGACAGACAGACAGTGGGGCCCAGGCGTTCCTTGTCCCTGTGTCAGGACGAAGAGGGCGAACGCATTTCCCAGTGGGTATGTAAAGTGGGGCTTGCAACTCTTTCAAAAGGTGTACTCGTCATACAAGGAGCTTTGTAACATAATCAGTAGGTAATAA